CTTCTCCCAACCCCTTGTGCGTGCTGGTCGAAGTCGAGCACAGATTTCAACAGTTTCACAGTTGTTGAACCAAGTTTTTTCGGGTCGACTTCTCCAAACCGCTTGTGCGAGCTGGTCTAAGTCGAGCACAGATTTCAACAGCTTCACAGTTGTTGAACCAAGTTTTTTAGGGTCGACTTCTTCTAACACCTTGTGCGAGCTGGTCGAAGTCGAGCACAGATTTCAACAGCTTCACAGTTGTTGAACCAAGTTTTTTCGGGTCGACTTCTCCCAACCCCTCGTGCGAGCTGGTCGAAGTCGAGCACAGATTTCAACAGCTTCACAGTTGTTGAACCAAGTTTTTTTGGGTCGACTTCTCCCAACCCCTTGTGCGAGCTGGTCGAAGTCGAGCACAGACTTCAACAACTTCACAGTTGTTGAACCATGTTTTTTCGGGTCGATTTCTCCCAACCCCTTGTGCGAGCTGGTCGAAGTCGAGCACAGATTTTAACAGCTTCACAGTTGTTGAACCAAGTTTTTTCGGGTCGACTTCTCCCAACATCTTGTGCGAGCTGGTTGAAGTCGAGCACAGATTTCAACAGCTTCACAGTTGTTGAACCAAGTTTTTTCGGGTCGACTTCTCCCAACCCCTTGTGCGAGCTGGTCGAAGTCGAGCACAGATTTCAACAGCTTCAAAGTTGTTGAACCATGTTTTTTCGGGTCGACTTTTCCCAACCCCTTTTGCGAGCTGGTCGAAGTCGAACACAGACTTCAACAGCTTCACAGTTGTTGAACCAAGTTTTTTCGGGTCGACTTCTTCCAACCCCTTGTGCGAGCTGGTCGAAGTCGAGCACAGATTTCAACAGCTTCACAGTTGTTGAACCTAGTTTTTTCGGGTCAACTTCTCCCAATACCTTGTGCGAGCTGGTCGAAGTCGAGCACAAATTTCAACAGCTTCACAGTTGTTGAACCATGTTTTTTCGGGTCGACTTCTCCCAACCCCTTGTGCGAGTTGGTCGAAGTCGAGCACAGATTTCAACAGCTTCATAGTTGTTGAACCATGTTTTTTCTGGTCGACTTCTCCCAACCCCTTGTGCGAGCTGGTCGAAGTCGAGCATAGATTTCAACAGCTTCACAGTTGTTGAACCAAGTTTTTTCAGGTCGACTTTTCCCAACCCCTTGTGCGAGCTGGTCGAAGTCGAGCACAGATTTCAACAGCTTCACAGTTGTTGAACCAAGTTTTTTCGGGTCGACTTCTCCTAACCCCTTGTGCGAGCTGGTCGAAGTCGAGCACAGATTTCAACAGCTTCACAGTTGTTGAACCAAGTTTTTCGCCGCTGTTGATAATTCTGTTTAGTGGGTCGTGTGATTAATTCCTACTTTATGCCGTAGTTTTGGGTACAACTTCGCAGTTGTTTAGGTCGACTTTGTAGTCGGAGGCTTCATAGCCTAGCCGAGATTCCACTCGAGGCATACAACTTCGTAGTTGTTTAGGTTGACTTTGCAGTCGTAGGCTTCATAGCCTTTCCGAGATTCCACTCGAGGCATACAACTTCGTAGTTGTTTAGGTCGACTTCGTAGTCGTAGGCTTCGTAACCTTGCCGAGATTCCACTCGAGGCATACAACTTCGTAGTTGTTTAGGTCGACTTCGTAGTCGGAGGCTTCATAGCCTTGCCGAGATTCCACTCGAGGCATACAACTTCGTAGTTGTTTAGGTCAACTTCGTAGTCATAGGCTTCGTAGCCTTTCCGAGATTCCACTCGAGGCATACAACTTCGTAGTTGTTCAGGTCGGGTTCGTAGTCGACGTAGTTGGTCGACTATATAGCCGTTTCGAAAAATTCAGTTCATTCAGCAATTATAAAAAAGTCGATGCGTAAATATAGAGACATATTAGAAGTGTAAACAGAATTTATTTCATTACTGGATATAATTTGATCATTGCCCAGTACAAAAGGAAAACTCGAAACATTGTTTAAGCATAAAAACATTTGAGATGGATCACGTGCCAAGATCACGGTAGTTGTCGACCTTCTGCATCCTCGAGTTCGTACATACCTCTCTCAAGCACTTTTGTGACTGTGTATGGCCCTTCCCAGTTAGCTTCTAATTTCCCAACATTCTTGAGAGCGTCAGCCCGCTTTAAGACGAGGTCTCCCACTTGAAACCGCCTGGTTCGGACTTTCTTGTCGAAGGCTGCATGCACTTTCTGCTTATAGTCCACGGATCGAAGCCAGGCTTCCACTCGCACCTCTTCTATCATGTCGAGGGCTTCTTTTGCTAACTCTTCATTGTTCGTTTCCTCATAGAATGTCGACCTGTGAGATTCCAAGCCGACTTCGATGGGCAATAGAGCGTCCATTCCATAAACCATCTGGAATTGTGATTGCCCTATTGAACTCCTCGGAGTCGTCCTATAGGCCCATAGGACCGTTGTTAGCTCGTCGAACCAGGCACCAGATGCTTTTTCCAATCTCTTCTTCAGTCCCTGCAGGATGGTTCTGTTCGTCACTTCGACTTAGCCACTTTCCTGTGGGTGCGCAACTGAGGCGAATCGCTGCTTGATCCCTATGTCAACACACCACGCCTGGATCCGCTTCCCTTGGAATTGTGTTCCATTATCCGAAATCAAGATCTTTGGGATCCCGAATCGACAACAGATATTGTTGAACAGGAATTGTATCATTTTGTCCTCGGTGAATTTTGCCAAAGGCTCTGCCTCCACCCATTTACTAAAGCAGTCGACGGCGACCACCATGAATTTCCTTTGCCCTGTTCCCATCGGCAATGGGCCTACCAAGTCGATTCCCCATTGAGCAAAAGGGATTGGACTGTTGATTGTTGTCATTGCCTCTGCTGGAATGTGGGGGATTCGACCATGGCGCTGGAATTTGTCGCATCCTTGTACCAATTGTGCGGCTGCTTTTCGGATCTTGGGCCAATAATAACCTGCTCGAAGGGCTTTCCAGCTAGGGCTCGCGATCCTATATGCGCTCCGCAATACCCCTCATGGATCTCCCTCAAGACATGATCCCCTTCTTATTCGGAAACGCATCGCAGGTGGGGTCCGACCATTGACTTCTTATATAAGATTCCTTCGATCTCAAAATATTTACTCAGATATCGGGCTGCTTTCTCCGCCTCCTGCTTATCTCCTTCTGGCAATCGACCTTGTAATAGCCCACGAATTGCTCTTCGCCAATCCTGCTTTTCATCGACCTCCATTGTCTCACTTAGGACACTTCCTTCTAAGTGCAGTGTGGTAATATGATTTCCCATCTTTCCTTCATTTGAACTTGCGATTCTGGCGAGCCAATCGGCTCGCTTGTTCTCTTCTCGAGGCACTTGTGTTAACTCAAACCTTTCTAAGGCTTGCACCAGGTTCTGAATTTCCTCGACATATTTTATCATCCGATCCACTTTGATTTCGCAGTTTCCCAATACTTGCCCCACGACGAGCTGTGAGTCGGAATGTGCCATGATTTCCATTGCTCTGCCACCGACTGCCAGTTGAATCCCCATAATTAGAGCTTCATACTCTGCTTCGTTGTTCGAGGCCTTAAACCTCATTCTGATGGTGAAGTCGAGCTGTTCGCGTTCGGGGGATACTAGGACGACTCCCAGACCAGATCCCCTGGTCGCCGAGGACCCGTCAACGTGCATTATCCACTTCTTGCTTGCTCTCTTAGTCCCTTCTTGGATAAAGTCGGCTAGGGCTTGGGCTTTTATAGCTCGTCGCAGTTCATACTTGATAGAATATTCACTGAGCTCGACCGCCCACTTTACGAGTCGACCCGACACGGTAGGTCGACCCAAGGTCTCTCCGAGCTGAAAATTTGTCCTTACTATTATCACATGGTTCAGGAAATATGGCCTCAATTTTCTGGCTGTGATTACCAATGTTAAGGCGGCCTTCTCGACTTCGGAATATCTCTCCTCTGTGCCTTGAAGTACTCGACTTGTATAGTAGATCGGCTTCTGGGCCCCTCCAGCTTCTCGCAGCAATACAAAACTTAGGGAAAATATTGCCACCGAGATGTAGAGAACTAACTCGTCGCCCGGCTCTGGCTTTGTTAACAACGGTAGCTCGCTAAAAAACTCCTTCAACTTTTCAAACGCCATTTGAGCCTCGTCATTCCACTGAAAAGCTTTTTTCTTAAGTAACTTGAAGAATGGGAAACTCCTTTCCGCAGCTCGAGCTATGAACCGGCTTAGGCCTGCAATTCGACCCGTCAGGACCTGCACTTCTCTAACATTCTTTGGCGGGGCCATGTCAAGTATGGCTTGCACTTTTTCCTTATTTACTTCGATGCCTCTCTCAGTCACGACATAGCCCAGGAATCGTCCTGCCTTCACTCCAAAAGCGCATTTTCTCGGGTTCAGCTTCATCCCATATGCCCTTAGTGTTTTGAAAGCTTCTCTCAGATCTTCTACATGTGAAGTCGAGGGCCTACTTTTCACCAGGATATCGTCCACATATACCTCCATATTGCGTCCAATCTACGACTTGAACATTCGATCCATCAATCTCTGGTACGTTGCCCCTGCATTTTTAAGCCCGAAGGGCATGACGACATAACAATACGTCCCTTTACTTGTGACAAAGCTAACTTTGCTCTGATCTTCGGGGGCTAATGGGATTTGGTGATACCCCTGGGAGGCATCCATCATGCTTAGCAACTCGCAACCAGCCATGGAATCGACTAATTGATCAATCCTCGGCAGAGGGTAATGGTCTTTGGGACATGCTAAGTTCAAGTCGCGGAAGTCGATACACATACGCCATTTGTTCAATGCTTTTCTCACCATCACAGTGTTGGATATCCATTCGGGGAATTGGAGCTCTTTGATGTGCTTGGCTTTTAGCAACTTATCTACCTCGACCTCGATTGCTTTGTCTATCTCAACCCCATGGTGTCTGAGTCATTGCTTGACGGGCTTTTTAAGGGGGTCGACATTGAGCTTATGTTCCATAACCTCCGGATTGATTCATGTTATTCCTCTGGAGAGAAAGCAAAGACGTCTCTAAATTCCCTCAGTAATTCCACCAACTGCCTCCTTAACTCGTCTTCCAACTCTTTCCCGACTTTGGTGGTTTGGTCCTCTCTTTCTCCGATCTGAATTTCCATCAGCTCTCCGTGTAATTCGAGATCGCTTCCCCTCGGCCTTTTTTCATTCGATCCCAACTTCCTCTCTTTTACCTCCGTTCGTTGGTTCGTCCTTACCGCTATCTGGTAACACGCTCTGGATAGTTTTTGATCTCCTCGAGCTTCTCCCACCCGATCTTCGACTGGAAATTTCAACTTCATATGGTAAGTGGACACCACAGCTTGGAAAGTGTTCAGTGCTGGTCTCCTGAGTATCACGTTATAAGCCGATTCAACATCGACCACCACGAACCTTATCATTTTTACATTTCTCAAGTTTCCTTCTACTAAGACGACGGCAAGCGTAGTTTCTCCCAAGGGTGCGACCTCCGATCCAGTGAACCCAAAAAGAGACGTGTGCAAGGGTGCCAGTTCGATATCAAGGTTCATCCTTTTGAGACAATCATAAAAGATCACATTTACTGAGCTTCCAGTATCGACGAAAACCCTTTGCACCTCGTAGCCCGACACCTGGGCCGTTATCATTAGAGCATCATTGTGAAGCCTCTCGACCTCTCATACATTCGTTGGTCCAAAATTCATCACCGGACCCCCCTCATCGACTTGGTGTACTTCGACATTGGCATGCTTCCCTCGGGAGTACGCTTTTCTTGCACGGTTTGAATCTCCGTCAGTCGGTCCACCAAAGATCATGTGAATTATTCCCTTTTTCAAGGGGAGCTCGTCCTTTTCTGGTGACCTTGTCCTCTTGCGAGGACTCTTGCTCCTTTCTTTCCTTCGACTTGTCCTTTCTCGATCTTTGTATATGAATTCTTTCAAATGGTCGACCTTTATCAACCTCTCTATCTCGTCTTTGAGGTGCCTGCAATTGTCGGTGTTATGTCCGTAATCCTTGTGGAATCGACAGTATAGGTTGCTCTTAGGCCTCGTTGGCCCGTCATTCCTTGTCTTGGGCCATCTTACCAGATTGTCACGAATCTCCCTCTCCATAACATCCAAGATCCTAGCTTGTGGAGCCGCCAGAGGGGTGTAATGAGTCGGCCTCCAACTTCTAGGCCGTCCCTCCCTTTCTGCTCGCGGGGACCCCTTTCTCTCTCCAGTCGAGGAAATTCTCTTTTCTTTTCTCTCATCTCGAGGGTCCATTTTAATTGTTTTAGACGCCTGCGAGAAGTCAGCCTCTGCTTACTCGACGTTCATGTATTTCTCACACCTCCCTAGTACCTCATCAAACGTTCTGCCTGGTCGCTTAGCCAAGGAGTTCCTGCACAAGCCTGGCAGTAGCCCTCGGGTCAAGCCCCCCGCCTTTATTTCCTCTGACGCTCTGGGCACCTCGACGCAGGCCCGTGTATATCTCGCCACATAATCTCGCAACGACTCGCCTTCTTTCTGTTGTATGCCCATCAGTGTTAAATACGACTTCTCTTGTGGCCTGACACTAGCAAATTGGTTGAGGAAACTCGAGTTGAACCCCTCGAAATCCTTGATAGATCCTGCTGGTAACTGGTGGAACCAATCCTGAGTGAAACCTCGTAAAGTTGTCAGGAAAGCTCGACATTTCACTGGATCGTTGTAGCGATGGAGTACCGCCATTTTCTCGAAACTCCTCATATGTCGAGATGGGTCGGTCGACCCGTCATAGCTTATGTTTAAATCACGGAAGCCTTGTAGTAGATCAGCGTCGAGGATATGCTGCGAAAACGGATGTCCTCTCGAGCCGCCGGTTTTTCTCCCCTCGACCCGGGCTTGCAATTCATGCACTTGGGCCAGCAGTTGCTCCAGCGTTTCATCCCTCGCTTGCGGGTTAACAGTTCTGATAGAGGAATCCTCCTCTTCTGCCCTCCTATTCTACCTCTCGTTGGACTGGGCCTGTTGCTCGCGTTCGATGTTTGGTTGTTCGATCCTTAGTGGCTCGACCCTAGGTTGTTCGGGCTGAGCTTGCTTGAGATGAGCTGCCACTGCTTCCGCTATCATCCTTTGCATCTTATCTCTCGTCATTGTTACCGTTTGCTCCTCGTCCCGAGATCGAACGAGCTTTTGTTTTGGCCCTTCCTGGATTTGCTTTCCCGCGCGCCGAGACATCTCCGTTGGTTCTTCTCCGCCCGTATTGGGATTTTGGCTTGCTCCTGCTGAGGTCAGCACCGGCATCTTCACTCCAGGCGGAGTAATAGGCGTTCCTCCACCCAGAATCACTCCCGGAGGTGGAGGTCCTCCAAACGGTGGCATCCCTAGTGCCTGCATCATTGGGGGTCTGGGGGCAGAGAGAGAAGGCGGTCTCCTGTCTGCCCAGGTTCCCCTAAACTCCTCATTCAAATTCCTCTATAAACTTTCCTTCTCTGCCATCGGCGACAGATCGGATCTAGGTGCGAAGCCCTTAATTCCTTCAAGAACTCCCCACAGACGACGCCAAAATGATGGGTCTCTTCCCAGATCTGGAGCGAACTGATGAGAATGGGCTCAGATCTGGAACAAACCAGTGAGGATGGGCACAGATCCGACACGATGGCTTTCAAACTGCTATTGAACCACGAGAACACCTGCAAGAAACTCAACGCCGGAGGTGTTTCCGGCATAGAGCCTCCGACGCTCAAGTTAGTATGTGAAGAAGATAGAGAAGGCTGCTCTTAGGGAGCAGCAGCAATAATGGATGAGAGTATGTAATGAATGGGAGTTAGAGTTTTAGGGCTACCTCTTCTCCCTTTTATAGGAGGGAAATTACCTGATGTGCCCAAAATGCCCTAGGTCGGTGGTCCTGAATGGTCCAAATTTCTCTGGTTGATTCGTCTCCCCCTCTTGCTGAGTCACCTTCTAGATTCTTCTTATCCCTTTGAAGTACCAACAGGTTCATGAGGAACAAGTCATGCGGGGTCGTCATCATATGTATTGGGTCGACATGTGAGGAGTCGACCTCGAACATGGATGATTCCCTCTAGATTCTGATCTTCATGGCTAGAGCATACTGATTTTATTGCGGTCGACTTCGCCAGGTCAACTTAAGTACAGTCGACCTCGAGGTATCTGTCTGCGGGGTGTCATTAGTTCTTGGTTTGCTACAGGTTGGATTGCCCGAAGATTATCCTAAACACCTTGATGAGCTGATGCCGAGATATTACCGGTTCTTAGTTTTAGGGTCGAGGCCCTCGAGCCGACTTATCTTCATTATGGCTATATCATATA